AGGAAAGTGTGAGCTCAATAAATAAAATGGTGGCAAGGCCCCAAAAATCAATAAAAGATTGTTGAGATAATACTTTCTTTAAACAGCTCTGTAAAGCGTTTTGCTGGATATTGTCTGTGATCACAACTCATTACGTGTTCATTTTTCTCAGTATTTTATGACTGTAAAAAAAAGCTCTGACACAAAGGACCTATTGTTCTCTGAAATGTAATACTGGCAGTGTAGACCCACTAGATGTCAGCGCTGTGCAGCATTTTGCAGACAGGTCTAGGTGGCTGTGGTGGTCACTGTTACAGTAAACCACCTGGTATAAACCCACACACACACACACACAAATAAATAAATAAGAGAAATGCAAAACTGCTAAAAAAGTATATGTCAAATTGCTGTGATAAGGATGCTTTTGTATGTGTATGTGTGACTGTCTGTGCAGGATTATCTGGTATAGAATTACTTTAAAAATTATTTAATTTGTGCTATCTTGAACATATACAAAATGTAAATATAATTTGACTAAAATTCCTGTTTATTAACACTTACTCATAAGACCCCAGACCTGCTACAGTTCCTTCCAGTACTAATGGGTTGTGTCAGATGTTAACTGACTGTATTTTACACAGAAATTGCAGCTGTGAAATTACAAATGTTTGTTAAAACTTACCAGGAAAATAAGGACACATATACAACATATATCTGTTACTTACCGAAGGTGTGGAAATCAAGTCACCTGACCGATTCAATTCAAACTTGAATCACAAGACACGAAAAAAGTCTAAAAAGTCTCCTAACTCAACCTTGACACCATTAACTCGTGACTTCAGTTGGACTTGAGCCTCAAATGACTTGTTACTCTCCCAAAGCCCAGAACAGAATAATCTTGGCAGGATCAGCAAAATATTCAAAGCAGATGTTTAGGCCAGTCTTTAAAGGCTGAAGGTCATTTAAACTAGATGTGTGTTTGAATGAATTGTTTTAATTCAACGATAGGATTGTTTTAGGTGTCTTCAGAATCAGAATCAGAATCAGAATTTTGTTTGTTGCCAAGTAGGTTTTTACACCTATGAGGAATGTGACCTGGTGCAGTTGGTGCATAAAATATACACATATACAAATACAAATATACAAATCACAATCACACAAAAAACACACAGAAAAAATAAAGTACTTCGAAAATTAAATAGATAAAGATAAGAAGAAAAGAGAAAAGCTGTGCAGAAAACATGGGGCATTAATTGTAATGCATACTTTATATACTGGGTGGGAGTGTGACAGTGGGTAATCCAGGCCTTGTTAAGGAGGCCAGCTGCAGACGGGAAGAAACTGTTTTTGTGGTCTATGGTCTTTGTCCTGTTCATGGAGAGGAATAAAATGGAAAATAAAGTGCTGGGTGGACGTGAGCTTGCATAATTTGTGTTATTTTATGAGGAATGGATAAATGCCTGCTTATGTTAACACTACATGCTTTTGATTGTTGACTGGCATTTGCTTTGTTTAATTTTGAAAACAGTCCAAATCTCATTTCCTGTATGATTGCAGTTTCCTGTGTCTCTTTCAAAACTATTGCAATAGATGTATGTTTGGAAAAATAAACAAATGTAATTAAGCATTTAACGTAATCTTATGTTGATTTAAAAATACTCCTATTACTTTGTTAGTGTTTAGATTTTGAAAGAACATTTTATGTGGTGAAAACCCCATCTTTAGGACTCAGGGCTAGGAACTGGGACGTGACTTAAGACATTTTTTAAGACACAAAACACAAAACAAAACAATACACTGGGCATATTTGCACTTCCTCCAGCTCCAGTATGATTTAAAACAGTCTTCTTTCAGATGGCTTGTTTATGCTTATGGCACAGTCTTGTTATATAACATGTCACAACAATTGAGTCGACACAAGGATAAGTCTCTGCTGTTTGTGATGAGTACTCTAGATGTATGTGGCCTTGGCCCTTTTCTTACAAGTTTGTCAAGGTTTTCATTATAAAGTTATAGTGATTGTATTGCTCTAGATATTCTAGAGCAATACACTTTACTTTACTTTGGCACATACTTTGGCCTTCAGTATAATCAAATGTTTCATGGTTTCATCCACACTTATACTTAGATGGTATTTTACTTTAAAATTGTGATATATAAAACAATAATTAAAACAATTAAATGTATCAAATCGTTCTAAGATGAATTCTTTTATATCTATAACTTCATATTCTCTACTGCACATAATGCTGCGTCTTTCAAAACCATCACAAAAGGTTAAAAACTCTTTATTGGTAAAATATTATAATCTCCCCAAGGTGCTCTTAAATGAAATAAAATGCATCTGTGGACAAATTTGTGTTCATAAAATCATTCAAGAATTGCCTTAAGTTAAACCTGTTACCTACCATGTTCTACTCTTTGCACACCAGTGACTATATTGCATGTCATCATTTACTGCACGGGACTTTCATCTTTACCTGTACCCTGCAGCAACAAGCTATTTGGTAGAGGATGGATGTTAAGTAATCCAAAATATCATTAGGACCCTGGAGTGTCTGGAGACTCCTGCCAGGAATGTTAACAGTGCACCGTAGCAGTGGTAGTAGTAGTATGTGGAGAAGTTGATCTGTTTGTGAAATTTAGGGAGTTTTTTTAATGTGGTTTGCAAAGGCTAAGAGGTTAAACCCTTGTCAGGAATTGAACTTGAAGAGCTGTTCAGAGAAGGATATCAGGGTTATGGGACACAATGTTCGACCTATTTGTTGTACAAACTAGAGAGCTGCAGTCTCTAGCTGTTCAGCTGGAAGTATCTGTTCCCCATTGCTCTCATATCAGGTAAGGAGATATGATATGTCATGTCATGTATGTCATTATTTGTTTATATGTACAGTTAGCTGTCATCAGCATAGCAGTAGAGAGATAATCCATTAAAAACTAAATTAGGATATTTCTGCCAAATGGTCAGTAAGTAAAGTTTGTTTGTTTAGGACCCAGATACTGTCCTGTCATTGCTAAAAAAAACTGAGGAGAGTGTGAGGGTCTTTAATATTAAATTAAGCACTAGGTACAAAAGAATTATGAGGAATAATATGGATTTGCGAGATCATGAAATCACAAGATTCATCTTTCCAGGCTTCAAACTTTGAGGAACTACTAGCAGCGTGATGCAGCGATAAGTGACTGGTCACTCAAAAGCAACAACGGCTCCGAAAGAGGTTAGTGTAGATGTTGCTCTAGCATTCGTGAAGCCAGAACCGGATAGTATTCATTCATTGAAAGAAGAGTGAAGAACAGCACTGAAGGTTTTTTACGATGGAAAATAAGTTTTCTCTATTCTCCCGACTAGCTTATTGGCTCATTGATCTGACTGATTGAACTTAGCCTATGATAGTAATAGGCAGGTGGTTCATCCCTGCCAAGTATTTTTTGAATCTGCCTGCCCTTTTCCAAACAGTTTCCAGGGACAATTTCCCAGATGGGTCTGTGTAACAAACCATTGGGCGCCAGGTTAGCCTTTCCTGCTGCCACGATCCTGGCCAGTGGTTTCCCAATGCTGTGGGTGGGACATATGTCCATGGATGGCACCACCTGGTGTTCAGTTTGTGGTATCTCTGTTTCAAGTTCTACATTTTTATTTGTCACATACTCAACATATCTCTACGTTATGTAGCTACTGAGAATAGTCGGCTGGAGAGGGCTGGCTGCACATGACATAATCAGATATCAAAATATCGAAATTGCAATATATAAAGCAAATAACTTATGTAAAACAAAACATAAGATAATATGTGCAAATATAAATTATTCCAAAACACACAATTTGCAGTGTTCATGGGTGGGAAGCCAGTGAGGGACTGTGTGGTTGTTGTTGCACTGGCAACCCAAACAGGTTGCTCACAACATCTGCACGGATGCAGTGGGATCTGGGAAGGACTGTGTGAACCTCTTGCTCATTGCATCTTGGAAGGAGACAGTCACTGAAGCCTAATCAGTCCAGATTGCTGCGTCACATTATCTTGCCCTATGAAGTATCCATAAGTAATTTAAGTTAAATGGATCCACAGCTACCTACAATATTACCACCACATGGAAAAGTAACCTGAGGTCCAGGTGGTTAGACTCAACAAAATGCACATTGAATGAAGTATATGTCATTTACTTTTCATTTTAACACAGTGTTGTTAAATTACTTTTAAATGCAGGAAATACTTTCTCTATATTAATAAGTTCAGATTGATTTGGGGAATTTGTCCTTTGGGGAGCAATAAAGTGATTAAAAGATTTCACTGTATAAATTAATACATGTTTAACTTTTTCTTCGTTTGTTTTGATTTTTTTATTTACAACTCTCAAAAGTGATTACCTTTAATTATCTTTAGCAATCTATTTACTGACCAGTGTTTTATAATTTTATTACCTGATTTTCCTTTAATTTGTAAATTTTCATTTGTAAATTATTCCCCCCTCTCTTGTGTCATTAAACACTGATGGCAAATTGCTCAGTTCCTCTATAATCATTTGCAAGTCTCAGCAGCTTCAACATACTAAACTTAGAAAAGATCCAACAGAAGTTAATTATTAATTTGTGTCTATAGACAGTTCATACAGAAGTGAAAACATGTTGATGCAATATGGACGTGATCCCAGATATTGACCAAAAATAAAGAACTATAATTATATGTTATTTGATGCTCACTTAACCCTTTTAAACGATCAATCATCATCATCAGTCCTTGCTAAAAAGCCCTTGCAACTTAAACGAACAGACAATAATGAGAATTAGGGAGAAAAAAATAAAATAAAAAAACATAAAAGAAAATCCACTTGGCAAACTAAATAAATAATTCAAACTGGGACTGAGGCGGAATCCAGAGCATTGTTGCAGTAACTGTTAAGTTTGGTGTGATTTGATGGAGGTGGATGGTGGGGTGTCGGGTGCTGGAGAGAAAGAGAGAGAGAGNNNNAGAAAGAGGGGAGGGCCAGCCGAGCTGCTGCTGCAACGTCAGACCGCTGCTGAGCTCCGGGGCTTCAGGCTCAATCTGTGGCCAGCAGCAGCAGAGGTGGTGGGGAGGAGAGGAACATTTGATCCACTTCTTTATTTCCTCCTGTGGTTGCTTCTTCACCGGGGCAGGCAGAACAAAGGGGGGACAACTGCATGATTAGAGGCGCCGGCTCTCCTTCATCTCGACTGCAAGCCAGGCTAGCTTGATGCTCAGTTCAGCCTGCTAGCCTTTGTGGCAGGGCTGTCCATGCATCCAAGGAGCCCCTGAGCAACCCCGGGCTGGGAGAAGCCTGTTTCTCTATTTTTTTTTTTTTTTTTGCTTTGACAGTCTTCAAAAACTGTGCTCCGATCCGAGTGGGCAGACAGCAGCATCCTTGTCAGCTTCATTGCGCACCCAGAAAGCGGATTTCCACTGAGGAGCATCACTGCCTGGGCACGGTTACACGTCGTCGCCGGTCTGCAACCTCCAGCTTGACAGGACCAAGAGGCGATTGATGAGAATAATCTCTCAAGATAGGCTACAATGTTGCGCACCACGGCCAACATGTTGGCAACAGGATTGCTTTTCTTGGGATTGTTGCACAGTTTGGAAGTAATCGCTCCGGGAAGAGCTATTGATGGTAAGCAGCGCTGAATCCAGGATAACCAGAGTCTACTGTTAAAAATGCTTAGAAAAAAAAAACAACAACTATAGAAGTGTGTGCACGCTGATTATCACAGGATTTAGTGTGTTGTGTGTCTGTGTGTGAGAAGAGTAGACTGTGCCCTGAAGGGAACGACTGCTCGATTGAGTGAAGGCAACGTGGAGGGGATGAAACCGAGGCGAGACAATTAAAGCGGTCTTTTGTTTCTGTCTCCCAGTGCCACATGTGAATATTGCAATGTCACAGCAGTGATCGCACCCCCCCCCCCCCCCGCCTCTGGATACAGGCGCTCTCTCACATTTACACTGACATCCACTGATGCATAGGCCCCAGTACCTGCTTATAAACCACTTGTTTACACATCGATCATTAAAATCGGTGATTGTCATTAGTGTCATTAGAATCGTGATCGGTGTCATGTCTTTAAAAAATGTCAGCTTTTAGAGCCTCCTGCGGAGCTGTAGTGTATCTAATGTGTCAGGTCTTCAGTCAGTTCACGTTCAACAGATTTTCATGAGCGATGTGCTGATGTGATGACAGCAGCCTTGCTATTCCTCAATCAAACAATCCTGTCATATTTTTATTACTCCGATGAGGAATTTAAAGTGTGTCTGGGGTTTTTCTCTGCCTCAGAGATGCTTTATGAGAACAATAGACCCTGTGTTTATTACATGTAATTATCACAGTTAGTTTCCCTCAAATGTAAGCTCAGATGTTGTAGTGCTGCCATCAACAGGCATGTCCATGTATCAGTATGATGGCTGAGTTTATTACCTGGGCCAGGACCCTTGAATGCCAACAGTCATATTATGATCTGCAGGCAGATAGTGAACAGTTCAAAACAGCTCCCCCTAACACACACACACACCTCCCTTCACAGTCTGGAACAACTTCTGGAAACTATTAAGCCCTACAGTCCCACTCTTGCGCTCCTCTGTTTGGTAAGAAAAGAAAGGGCGTTATCAAAGGGGAGTTAGTGTAGGCAGATTTGTTTAATTCTTTGCAGGTGAAAAGAGAATGACTGAATGTTTCTTTTTGCAAAGATATAATGCCTTTTATTCATGTTGGGAATGTCTGACCTGTGGATGAATCTTAGGGTCCTAAGTATGTTTTTAGGTGACTTTTACTGGTAAGGAAACGTTTCCAATAAGGAGCACCAGCTGCTGTAAAGCCAATAAGGGTTCCAAATTCGACATTTCATTAAATTCGGTAAGACTTTAGCATGCGTGACTGATTTTAAAACCACAAGCGGCATTCTCTGTTTATCTTCAAGCTATAAATGCTTCCCTCTGCCTTTGAAGTCATCTCCTTGCACTTGGCAATCCATTGCTGTGAGGTTCTTCAAAATCCATATAAATTACCACCTTGAAGATAGACTTGGTTAGCCTGCAATCACCTGCAGTTTCGGTCTACAGCTGAGAAATCTTGCCTTAAAACAAACAGTTTCTGCCTTAATGCACTGTTATTGTCTTAGTGAAATTTTCCTCCCCGCTGGTCTTAATGCCTTGATTTGATGAGTAAGCCTTGTGCAGAGGAGATCGCCAAACATTAGCTTTGCTCAAAAACCCACTGGGATGCAGAGGCTGCTGTGCTTCACTGAGCCTCTCAAGGACACCTATTGAAATTTGTTAACAGTTGACATGGCTCATACGTTGAACACCCACATTTTAAAGCCAGCCTTAGAAGACCTTAGTCAACATGTCACTTGTTGTATAGGAAGCTAGACTGCTTACTCCCTTTCAAGCAATAGCTAAATTGCTTTTTAACCTCTTTTATTGCCTCTTTGATTTTTAGGGCCATTTGAACCACACATGTTAACAGTAAAGTTTCTCAGACTTCCCTGGCACTCTTATTTTTCCATTTTCTAGACCTCTAAAGATCTTCTTGCACTGTCTCAGTATTGTAGTCAGAGCAAAGACCCTGGGCCACCAACAAACCCTGAGCTTAATTGGGTCTAAACTGCTCTTTGTTTCCTAGAGGGGACCTCCATGGACAGTCTCATTTTGTTCAGAAGGCGCTGTTAATTGGGGGCCTAGTAGAAAAGACCTTAATGAAAGAATTCACATCGTTTCGCTCCATGAAAGTACTGTAATGTCATTGCAAAATGAGATCACTGCTCCTCAGGAATGGACAGCACTGTCTTCCAGGGCTTTAAGAGAAAAACACCTTCCATAGAAAAAAAAAAGGAGAAATGGGTTTGAAACTGTGTCACTGAGGACAGCTTGAAACATTTCAATTTGAATCAGTTCTATTTTTTCCATGCAGACATCCATTTAAATGTTTTTGAAGTCGTCTGTATCTGAAATGCCTGGTTCCTTATTTTATATTTAATTCTTTTGCTGTCCCCCCCCCTCCTTAAATGTTGAACTTCTTCATTTAAAACACATCCTTGTTAATAGAAGTAGCACAGGGTTTTTTCCTTTTAATTATGTCACCATCCAATTTTCACCTGGCACTTTTCCCTTGTGGACCTCTCTGCTGTAACATTTGGTGGAGGCCTTAGAACTGGCCCAGCATTTGGCTGTTTTTGGGGTGATGCTACCGTCAAAATGACATCCACATGGCCAAAAGGTTACCACTTTACTGTTTACTTACAACTGAGGGCAATATGGAAAACAGAGTGCATTTGTTAGGTCCTCATTTCCGTTGACCTTATGTCACACGAGCAACATTTCAAAGTGCATGTCGAAAAGTAGTTATGTAAATAACAGAGGAAGAGTATATTTAACACTGTGGTTTAGATCAGTGCATAGAGTTAAAGAGTGTTGGTTGGTTGGCTGCCTAAATACCTTATATGACACACTGAAAACCAGCCACGACTGCATAACTGAGCAGATATAAAATCCAGCACTTTGGTCAGCAGCTTTTCCTGGGGAAAAACAACTCAGAGGCTAAGTAAAGTTCAGTCATATTTAGGGCTGGGTACCAAACTTACTTACAATACTTTTATGACACCAACTGAATTACTCTTTGATTTTTCCAAATATTGAAAAATTGGCTTGTCATTTGCTACCAGATTTCGAGTTAATACTGAGTAAATTTAATCAGCATCAGTGTGCCAATAAGCATAGATAGATAGATAGATAGATAGATAGATAGATAGATACGATACGATAGATAGAATAGATAGACTGTTATTAATAAGCATGCAGCAGTCTGTCAAACAGCTTCCTATTAGTAAGTAATTGTAACTTAATGTGTTTTGAATTTTCTTTTTGTTAAAATGGATTTTATAAAATTGGTACAGCAAAAAGTATTGTCCAGGAACCGGTACCAAGGTCAAAGTATTGCCACTGGTATCGAAAATACCCTAGTCATATTATTACACTGAGAGTTTATGTGGCTGTAATAATTTAATTTCTTATTTTTTATTTCATGAAATAAAATGATCCTTTAAGGAATATGTTGATATATTTGACATTTTGGAAAATGCGCCTTACTTTCTTGTCGAGAGTTAGATGAAAGGATTGATACCATTCTCATATTTGTCTGTTCAATATGTAGCCTACTAGCTAGTCACAGCTCCCGGCCAAGGAATTGTTACGCACAAAAAAAAGCCCAGCTTTATTTTTGTACAGATTCATTTGTGAGATATAACATTTCAACTATTTTTAAACTAGCAGCAGTAAGACTCTCCCAAGTCATTGTTTTTTTCATGTCAGAAATCAAAACTCATTCATAAAAAACAGACTTTTTCCATAATTACCTGAAAACACTGCTAAAGTCTTTTAAAAGCTGATATCAATTATGACCACAGTGCTCTGGATATATGTGGCCAGGCTTGTCAGACCAGCCCCGTGACCCACTTTAGAATTGTGACCGACTGATTGAGATACACTATCTAGATGGAGCTATTTAAGGACTGAAGATAGAATACAGTCTCAGGAGGCCCTTTGAAAGAATATGAGCAGAAACTAGTTTGGTGATATCATGAGCAGGCACATGTATATTCACAATACATTAGCCAGCAACTTTTGACACCACAGCTATCAATGCATAAAGGTAAGGATAGGAAAAAAAATCACTTGTGAAGGCAGGCTCAGAAGAAGGCTAAGTCCTCTCTGACAGAAGTCTTTGATTTGTAGCTTATGCTGAGATGGAGACTGTATTTCCTGGACAGCCTGTCTTATTCAGTAATTAGGACAAAATGACAGAAATCCTTCCTGCATGATGACCAACGGTTTAGCATAATTCCAAGGACAACACCAAGGAATAAGGAAGCCATTTCCATTTTTTGCATTGTGTAGCCTAGAAACAGTGAAATAATATTAATATGAGAATAGTACAGTGAGAACAGACAATTGTACTGAAAGGTGTTTATGAGGGACCAGAATCTGGGATAAACTGACAATTAGTGCCATCAGGACCCCCGTGGTTTTTAATTAATTTAGAGTTATTATATGTGTCAGTGTGGTACAGTGTGCTGAAACACCAGTAACACGTGTTTAGTTGACAGTACAACTGCTAACTATATTAATATATATTCAGATTTAACACATCTTCATTGAGTACCAACAACAACCAACTGATACACACAAAAAAACAGATGTGAAAATGTGCAGATTTCAGCTTTAAAACTGCAATAACTGACTTTTATGGCCACTAGGGGGCAGCAGAAACCAGTGGTGGTTACTACAATGACATATTGTCACCTTTTAAGTTGATTTAGCAAACTTGTTAGCAAATAATTGCCTATTTACACATCCAACATGTATAAAATTCATTTGGAGTAATGCTAATGGCCACCAGTATTTACTCTCTTTTTGCTTTAGCTGCTAAATGCAAGTAGTCATGTGATGCATTGTCTATGTAAAAATATTGATTATAGCAGCTTCGAAAGAGTGTTTTATACAGTAGCTGCTTTGGTTAACATATTGTACGGTTTAGTAGGTTAAGTTTTATGTAAAAAGCACTTTAATATTGAATCCATTCATTAATGATAATTCAGCAGATGAATTTGTATTTGCATGACTAAG